AGAACTTAGAGACTTGCACCTTTGGGGGTTGAAAGGACCCAGGACAATGGATGAAAATACACCCACCAAAGCAGATCATCATGGAATTTCCGAATGCCAAAGACAAAAAGACAGGAGATAAAAGGTCATATATAAAAGATGAAGAAATAAAATGGCTCCTGATCTTTCAGAAGTGGTACTAGAAACTAGAGGGAAATGGAGAAATGTCTTCATTATTCTACAAGAAAATGATTACCCATCTAAAATTCTATGCCATATCAGGGTAGGATAAATGCGTTCTGGGGGATGTATAGTCTCTTGTTCCCTTTCTCAGAAATCTAGTAGAGGAGGTGCTCGACCCAAATAGATAACAAACCAAGATATAGGGAGACTCAGGATCCAGGACACAGGAAATTCAACATGGGTGAGAGGCAAAGGGAGTCTCCAGGATGATGGGGAATGGAGATCCCAGGAGGACAGCAGTTGGACCATCTAGGCCTGAAGGCTACAGAAGGGATTTTTTTTTTTGTAAGAAAAACTGAAATATTTTCAAAAAAGATTAAAACCATTTGCAACAAGTTTGGGGTTAAATAGTGATGATCCATAGGAAACTAAGCAAAAAAAAAAAAAAAAATGAGACAACTCCAGGAAAAACAAAATGTACAAAGGAGAAGTTATCCCAGTTTACCAAAAGCCTTGTGGTTATAATGTCATGATATTGTGAGGATGGAAGATGGGAAAGGTACTTGTATGGGGCAAGGGGGGTGTAGAAAAAAGAGCAAGAGCCTCATCTTCCATTATGATAAATAAATATATCATCAGAAATTGCTTATATTGCTAGTTATTCTTTTCAATTTTATGCCAAAATAAATGGTATTTATTTAGCAATATGGAGATAAATACCAAACTAATGAGCTAAAAGAAGTGAAGGTGGCTGCCACTTAGGTGGGCGTCATCAAGAACTACATTTTTCATAATAAACCTTGCCTGTGGTATCTTCTTAATGTCTTCTCATCCATTTTTGTATTTTTCCACGCTTTTGTGGAATAGATTTTCTAGGTACCTTAAATTTCTCCTGATGTATATAAATGTATCTTTTCTTACATAATAATTTCCTGCCGCTTGTTTCTGGTATTTAGAGATACGATTGAGTTTTGGCTATTGATCGCAAATGCAGTACCTCTGCTGAACTCAATTACAAATTCTAACCATTTGACCTTATATTTTCTTGTTGTTTATTTTTTTATGTAGACAAACATATTGTGCAAAATAACAGCAGTTTTGCTTCCTGCTTTGCCATCTTCATACATACTATTTATTTTTGCTTTCTCTTCGTGCTGGCAAGGACCTCGAGGACAGAGTTGAAATCGTAGCTAAGACAGCAGACTTGTCTCACTCCTGATTTTAAAGGGGATGCTTCTAAAATCAACACTAAATAAACCATCAACTTTAGAAAACACTGCTTAAGGCAGTGTCCCCCACAGTGTGCTGTGATCTTATGTGGGCCACTCTTTAACGGGCTGGGAGTACCTGCTACCTGACTGGGTATGTGACATGGCCTGCAAATAAATTTCAAGTTCACTAATTCAGAGCATAATCACTGGAGACAATGTTTCTAGAAAAAAAAAATAGCAACCAGAAGATGAGGCTTTTGAGTCATTCTCTGCCATCTGAGAAAAGAGAGTCTCTGGGCAGATGGAAGTCAAGAATTTCACCACCTGTTATTTGCTGTTACTGTTACGTTCTATGTATGGCAAGGGATCTTGCCCTCTCTTTTAGAGTGACAAATCAATTTTTATAGTGATACGCAGTTTCTTTTAAAACTGAATTTAATAAGTAATGTCAATTGGAAGAAAAGATTGAATTCATATTGCACAGGTGGTACTAACCGTAAGGCAGATGGGGCAAAAATCCTCAAAGTTGTTTGCAAACGACAAGGATGGTCAGATTTGTGCTATGACAACATATAACGTAAGAGCTGGAACGACATGAAGCGTGACCGAGTGGGGACAGGGATTGCCTATCGAGCCAGCATCTCTTGGCTAAAGGGAAGTCCCATGACATCTCGCCTTGCTGGGTTCTCATCACTGAACGGGGCTTTCCTAACATGTGGGTAACTTGTGTTGTCCTCACACCAAATAGCAGGGGACCGTCGTTGAGAAAGCAGGGTCTCCTTTACATTGACCTCATACTACATTCTGGGAAGAAACATTTGAATTTTTATGGCTTTCCTGCAGTAACACATTTTTCCTCCAACTGTCAGGATTTGCTTCATGCAGAGTAAAGCAAGCAGCTTTCATTTTCCTCTTATGAAAGGGAATAGGTAGAAATAATATACTGCTATTCAGCCAGCTAAACCTGACCTGACTCTCTTTATTCGTAGGGAAATGCAGGATTCACGGAGAGGACATTTTCACTGAGGTAAATAAGCCCTCTCAACTGATGAGCACTATTATACTAATACCAAAGGAAACAAAGGCCAGAAGATGGGGGGCATTAAGTAGAAAGGCAAACAGAAAAATAGCAGACAAAATCCTGCATAGGGACAAAGCAGGCTCTGCAACATTGAAAAAATAGGGGAAAATCCTTTAAGCGAAAATTGCATGCAATTTTTTGGCCTCAATTAGCCTTTTCCACAAAGAGCACTTTTTTCTACAAAGAGTCCATTAAGTAGCAAATGAAATTACATCGGTTTTCAGTTGCCATGGCATTGGTTTTCCCTCTAATGGATTTCTCCGGTCCCCGAGTTTAATGTTAGACTGACTCACTTTCCTTGTCTGTGTGCTGTCTCAATTCCCTCTGTCCAGCCACAAAGTGATGTATGTGACTTCTCCTCAAAGTGCCTACAACATAATCCAAGAGAGAGAAAATCCATTCCTCAACTATCCCCCCAGAGATGGAGAGGATGAACCTGACCAGCAACCACATTTCATTCATTAACCATGAACATAACAGTGTCCATTTATTAGATAAACGGAGTTCCCATCCGTGCACTCAGGGCTCCTGGAGCCATGCCCAGATCAGTCAGGGACTGTTTATGGAGTACCTCCTATGTGCCAAGCACTGTCCAGAGGCTGAAGACATAAAAATGCAAAAGAAAGAATGCAAGATGCTCACGGTCTTCTAGAGTTTCTAGGCTGCGAGACCTACTTCAAGGCCCTACTTTTTCCTTCTATTTCTCCAACCATAAAATGGGTGAAATTTTCCTCATTTATCTGATTCACAAAGTGTTTTGCTTTTGATATATTTTCTGGGCACCACACTTTAAAAAACAAAACAAAACAAAAAAATGTGTGATTCTAGGAGTAAGGATCTAAAATAACAAATTTACTTTTTTGAAGTTGCTTATTAGCTATAGCTAAACATTAGCTACAATATCAGGTTTGACTCTGATAATTTGGATATTCTTTCCTGATATGCATAATCATATATACTTTTTAGAAAAATAAGCTTATACTCTCTTATAAACTTCTTTTTAAAAATTGTTCCATGTCAATGAGCATTTTTTACAACATAATCTTTAATTTCTATATGGTATGAAGGTAACACAGCTTAAAATTTTTCTTTTCTTTTTTTTTTAAGATTTTATTTATTTATTTGAGGGAGAGAAGAAGAGGGAGAAGCAGGAAGCCCTTCGCAGGGCTTGATCCCAGGACCCTGGGATCATGACCTGAGCTGAAGGCAGACTGAGCCATCCAGGTGCCCCTCTATTTAATTTTTTTATTGTAAAATTCACATAACATAAAATGCACCATTTTAACCATTTTAAAGTATACAGTCCAGTGGCATTTAATATGTTCACAATATCGTGCAACTATCACCACTATTAACTGCTAGAATATTTTCATCCCTCCAGAAGGAAACCCATGCCCATTAAGCTGTTATTCCCCATTACCATTTTCCCCCAGCCCCTGGTAACTCTAATCTGCTTTGTGCATTTCCCTCTTCTGGCTATTTCATATAAATAGAATCACATAATATGTGGCCTTTTGTGCCGGGCTTCTTTCACTTGGCATAATATTTTCTAGGTGCATCTATATTGTAGCATGTATCAAGACTTCATTATTTTTTATGACTGAATAATATTCTATACAATGGATAAACCTTTCTTAAAATCTGGTTTTTTTTTTAAATCTCATTGATTGCTGGTCTTATCTTTATTATTTCCGTCTTCCTGCTTTCCTCAGACTTTTCAGTGTTTGAGATGCATGCCCAGATAACTGCAGTAAAGTGGTATAGTTCTGCTGATTTTGCCTTATACACTTTGAGATTCTGTGTTTAGGTGCACATGAATTTAGGATCACCAAAGCTAGACATACACATTTGGGGCTCCTACAGTTCCTAACTAGATGACTCTGCATGCGATGTGGATAATAATGAGTTAAGGGGCACCTGGGTGGCTCAGTCGTTAAGCGTCTGCCTTCGGCTCAGGTCATGATCCCAGGGTCCTGGGATCGAGCTCCGTGTAAGGCTCTCTGCTCAGCGGGGGCTCTGCTTCTCCCTCTGCCTCTGCTCCTCCACCCACTTGTGCCTTCTCTCTCTCTGTCTCAAATAAATAAATAAATAAATAAAATCCTCAAAAAGTTTTTTTCTATTGGACATGCAAATATTCTTCAGTTTTCAGTAATATAAGTGATTCCAGGCAAAAAATAAATTAGGCAATTTTTTGTGACTCTAAATATATATAAAAATGAAAAATGCCAATGTATATTTTGAATGTATTCTTTAACCAGTCAAAGCTTCTGATACAAAAATTATAAAAAACACAGTATGACTGCACTATATTGAAGACTCTTACAGAATGGGGAGAAAGTCTTTTCATTCCCAGTGTTCTGCAGACTGTACAACCAAGCCCAATTCTGTTACATGATAAATGTCTTCTTTCTTTCTCATCAGTTATCTCTTAAAAGTTTTTTTTTTTTAAGATTTTATTTATTTATTTGACAGAGCGAGAAAGCACAAGCAGGGGGAGCAGCAGAGGGAGAGGGAGAAACAGGCCCCCCGCCCAGCAGGGAGCCCCATGCGGGGCTCGATCCCAGGACCCTGGGATCATGACCTGAGCTGAAGGCGGACGCTTAACGACTGAGCCACCCAGGCGCCCTTCATCAGCTATCTCTTGGACTCAATGTATAACCTTGAGGTAATAACCCAAAGTTTGATTTGGAGACCCTACATAAATGAGGGCCCCTATGAGCCAAAAGGTGCAGAATGAGTCCTAAGTCCTAGAGGCGGAACTTCTGAGCTACAAAAGTTTTTGAGCTTTTGCCATTGCTCTTCAGACCCATTCACGTCCCATTAAGAGTGTGTGAACGCATGTCTTTGTGTTTGGCAACATCTGTATTGTCATCGTTTGTATCTTTGTTAATGTAATAAATAACAACAAAAGCACCTTCATTTTAATGAACATTTTACTGATTATCAGGGCAGGTGATCATTATGTTATCTTTATTTGCTGTTTATATACGTTTTGGGGGGAGAGGGTCTGAACTACTTATATCTGTTTTTGGTCTTTTGTTCTATTTTTCTCTCTTAGTTTTTAATCTCCTTACTTTATTCTAAAGATTTCCTTCTATGTGAAGGCTATAAAGAGGACCTTTGTCCATCTAGTCTCAATATTTTTTTCCAGTTTTATGACAGCCTTTTTATTTTAGGACCTGTTTGCAACTCGAACACTGAATATTTTTGCTTTCTCGAATTCATCTTTCTTTTCTTTGTGGCTTTGGCCTTTGATGCCACGGATCTAAGAGTAAGTTTATCTTTAATGGACTTCCATTCTTCCTCCTTGATTATTATTAGCCTAGGTCATCAGTGGCAGCCTACAGGGAGCCTTCCTTGGCCTCTCCCTACCTCTTTACTCCTTCTCATCTTCAGGTGGTCTCCCTCTGTCAACAGGGACAAAGGGGATAGACAGTAAGCACGTCCTCTGGGGGATGAGATGGTGACGCCTCTGGTGACGCCTCTGAGGAGTGAAAGGCTTGGCAGCTCGCTCTCAGTCTGTGGTTGATGAAGTCCCAATGAAAAGGTAGCAATATTAAAAGTCAATAGTTAAACAAATATATCGTGTCTTAACTTTCTAACAATTTTAAAAATAAAAAAACTTAGAAGTTTAAATTAATGAATTAAAATATAAATTGAAATTAAAACGACATCTAAAAACCCTAAATGTGTAAGTCAGTGTGAGCGGTGGTGATGGCCACGTGCTGTAGGTGGCTCGGTCCCAACTGACACCTCCCCCTCCCCCATGTGTCTCTGCACTAGACCCTCCCTTCCCCCCGGGCAGGCAAGAAGGAGGGGAAATTGGATGGGGTTTTTTTTTTCCCCTTGGATTCCCACAGGTTGAGAAGACCCTGGCATCTTTAAGCTTGTTCTCCTAATCTTTCACCCATGACCTTTCCATCCCTTCCCACTCTCATCAAAATCTCCACCCGTTCTGCTCTTGTTTTTGGCTGATGACTTACTTTGCCTTATCCATTCTTGAGGGGCAAAAGCTATCAGATATGATCTCCATCTCACCACTGCCACATCTATAAACACTCTGGCGTTTTAAAGCCATCCTTTACTTTGGTCCATCAGTTAAAAATGAGGATGTATCCAACAGTCTCTGGATTCCATCCCCTCTCAGCTGCTAAGATTTGAACATTTCAGTTACCCTGTCTCGTGCATTTTCAACTGTTGGCTTTCTATAAATCATCCTCTTCAGCACACAAACATTTCCTTTTATCTCCAACTACAGAACACTCTGCTGTGCGTGCCCCCAGCCCCCTTCAGCAATCACGCTACTCATGCTTGCACGTGCGGCCAGACTTTTTTGAACAGTTGTCTGCATGTGGCATCCCTAGCTTTTATCCTCCCATTCACACATTATACCATTCGAATCTGGCTTTTACGCCCACCATTTCACCCAAACTGCTTTTGTCAGTGATAATTCTGTCACTTAATCTAAGGAACATATAATTAAATCTCTCAGTAGCCATCGATACAGCTGACCGCCTCCTCCTTCTTGAACCTGCCTCTTGCTTATTCTCTATGATGCCAAAAATGCTTTTGGGCTTTCTCGCACTTCACTTACCAATCCATTTCACTCTCCTTGGCCCCCTCCATCCTGCTAACATCCTAAATGTAAGAATGTATCAGGTCTTGGTCCTATATTCTCTTTTCTCTCTCCACCCTCTTTATCCAAGTGATTTCATTGATTCCCTTGGCTTCAAATACAATCTATAAGCCAACGATTCCTAAACTTACAGCTTTAGTCCAGAGCTCTCTTCTGCAATCCACACGTTTATGTCAAGTGCAACTTGGACTCATTCACTTTGAGGTCTCAGAGCGATCTGAAACTTCTCATATTTAAAACTGATCTGGGGAAACTCACTCTGATTTTGAGACTTAATATAAAGCTCCAGCAATGAAGCGAATAGAACATTAGCAAAAAAAAAAAAAAAAAAAGATAGATAGATCAGTGGATCCATACATATCTGGCCACTTGATTTTTGACAAAGATACCAAGGCAACTCAGTGGAGAAAAAACAGTCTTTTCAATAAATGATGTTGAAACAATTGGATATATAAGATAATTTATCCATGTATAAAAAAGCTGAACTTCAACCTGTGCTTTATACCATATACAAAAATTAACTCAAAATGAGTCAAAGACCTAAAAGTAAGACCTGAAATTATAAAACCTCTAGGAGGAACCATAGGAGAAAATCTTTGTTCCTGGGATTAGTCAAAGACTTCCTAGGTAGGACACATAAAGCATAAGCCATAAGAGGTAAAAATTGATAAATGAATTTATTAAAATTAAATACTTCTGCTCTTCTAAAGACAGGAAGAATGAAAAGTCAAAGAATGAATAAAAATATTTGCAAACCGCATTTCTGATAAAGGGCTAGTATCCAGAATATATAAAGAACTCTCACAAATCAATAATAAGAAAACAAACAACCCATTTTTAAAAAGGAGCAAGAGATAGGAACAGATATTTCACCAAAGTAAATACACATCTGGCAAATAAATACATACCCATACATCCTTGGTCATTAGGGGAATTTTGATTAAAATCATAATAACATACTATTATAAACCTATTCATATTGCTAAAATAAATTTTTCTTTTAATATGACATTACCAAGTTCTGGCAAGGATGGAGAGCAACTGAACTCATGCACTCCTGGTTGGAATGCAAAATGTACAACTAGGTTGAAAAACAGTTTTGCAGTTTCTTATAAATTTATCATACAACCCATCATCCCACTCCCGGGTATTTACCCAAGAGAAATGAGAACACTTCCACACAAGAATCCGTATGCAAATCTTTGTGTCAGCTTTTTTTCAAACTTGCCAAAAAACTAGAAACAATCCAAATGTCCCCCTACTGGGGAGCAGATTAATTGTGTTACATCTATATAAGGAATGCTACTCAGCAATCAAAGGTCTGATATACTGGTGAGTGCAACCACATGGATGAATCTCAAATGCATTATGCTAAATAGGAAAAAACAGACCCAAAAACCTACATATTGTATAATTTAATTTGTATGACATTCTGAAAAAGACAAAATTATAGAGACAGAAGACAGACCAGTGGTTGCTGGAGGTGGGGGCAAAGCGAAGGGATTAACTATAAAGGGCACCAGGGAACTTTTTTAAGTGACTGTGGTGATGGTTTCATGACTATGTGTTTCTCAAAAATACTGAATTTTACCGTGTGTGAGTTATACCTCCATAAACTGACTTTTAAAAGACTAATTCTTAAAGATTTATTTATTTATTTGAGAGAGAGGGAGTGAGCGTGCCTGTGTGGGGGGAGGGGCAGAAGGAGTGGGAGACTAGCAGACTCCCCCTTGAGCAGGAACCTGACCCAGGGCTGATCCCAGGACTTTGAGATCATGACCTGCGCTGAAATCTAGTCAGATGCTTAACCACCTGAGCCACCCAAGCGCCCCTAAAAAACTAATTTAGTGATCCTGCCCACATACATGCTTCTTCCTCAACTCTCCCCATCTTAAAAAATAGCATCCCGGGGTGCCTGGATGGCTCAGTCAGTTAGCAACTTTGCACATGCTATTCTCTATACCTGGACTCCTCTTCTCCTTGGCTCCTTTTTTAATGGCTAGCTCCCTGTCATTCATAAAGTTTCAGCTTCACATGTCATATCTTTAGAGTAGTCTATACATGTTATAATAGTTGACCCCTGACATTCTCTTTCATAACACCCTGTTTGGCTCCTTTCCCAGTTTATTATTATATATTTATGATTTTATTTTGCTAGTAGTTATCTCCCCTACTAGAATATAGCTTCTTGAGGGCAGAAACTATTTTTTTCAGTTACTTAGCATATTAACTGACACATCATAAGAGCTAAATAAATATTTGTTAAATAAATGTGTAAACTAATAAGCCTCCTCCAATGAAAAAAAAAAAAACAGTGATTCCAATGTGATCATCACTGAATTTACCTGGACCAACACACACATTTATATAGTTATATAGTGTTATATATACATATGTGTGTGTGTGTGTGTGTGTGTGTGTGTGTGTTTGAGACTTATAAATTGGGTCCCTACTACATTACCTGAAGAAAGTAATGATCACCAAGTTTCACAACCATGAGTGTGCAAATAGATGACAATGTCAGCCACCCAGAAAGGCTTACCTCTCCAAACCAATTGCTTGGCACAGAGAATGGAGCTGGGAGTTGTACAGAAGTGTAAAGCTGTGTGTCCACTTAAGGAGTAGCAATTGAGCTTTGCTCCATGGTCACAGAGGATCTTAACACAATCCAAGTTGGCCATTTCACAAGCCACATGAAGAGGGGTTTTCCCGTTGGGTCTACAGTTGATTGTAGCATTGTGGTCCAGTAGCACCAGAAGACATTCCACGTGACCAAATAAGACAGAGAGATGCAAGCCTGTTGCCCAGGAAGACTTTAATTTATAACTAGGCAACCAATAACCTGAACAAGAAAAAGAAAGAAAGTTTAAGTTCTTGGCCTAGGATTTTTCTGTTTTGTGAGAATTTTTACAAAGACTTTTACTTTGGTCACATTTATAAAACTGGAGGGGGCAGTGATTCAGAAGTTGTAAACTAGTAACCGATGGGTCTGCAAATGTCTAGTTTAGAAGCATACTTGGATATACTTGAGGGGGACAGGCACTCTTGAGTCTCTCTGTTTCTAGTATTTTCCATTACCTGCTTTCTTTATTTACTTTATCCTCCTAGCCTTTCAAGGCATTTGGGTTTGAGACCCTCATTTATGGGATCGCATTTTATTTTACATGGTGAGTTACATGAGACTCTTATTGTTTCAACTCCCAATTATTGTCTTGAATGATTCTGAAGCTGTTAGTTACAAGATTATATCTTTTATTCCATCACAGTTCTTTTGCCCTATAGTTGGTGCTGTTGTTGTCAATCGGAGGTATGAATGTATTTGATGTCTTTAAAAATATTTGTCTTGCCAAGATTTTATTTGCCTGCCTATTGGTTTTTACAATATCTCTTACTGATAAGAAAAACTTAAGGCAACTCACAAATTTTACACAAGATTTTTTTTAATACAGGATTTTTTTAATGATCTAAGGGCAAAGGAAAAAAATAATGTAGGTAAAAAAAAAAGTGGTCAAGGGTTAAGATCGGTACACAAAATACAAACTGTGTCCTATACACTAGAACCACATTGCAAATTTGCGTTTGAACTTCCTAGCAGCCAAAATAAATAGGAAAACATGATGTATTGCACAATTAACTATGCCCACAAGCTATATACAAATTAATTGCTCAGGAGAAGCATAGCTGTTCCTAGAACTGAGATCTTAGATAAATTTTTCCCATTAGTTGTTGGAAATGTTCTCTTCTCCCCTTGCCCCTCTCCCCCTCACATGTCTCACAAGCCATAACAGCAGAACTTCATAAACCTTCTTTCAGTGTCAATACCTAGAGCCATAGTATTAAGCTTACTATGAGTGGGTAATGGAAAATATGTTCAGAAAGATAAAATACTGATGGCCAGATGAAGATGTAGAGATAACTCAACAGCTTAGAAGAGACTCTAGGGCTGAAACAATAAAACATATTTTAATGTGGATAAATCAGAAGGTTGCTTTTAAGTCATAAAATTCCACTATACAAGGTAAGTGGAATATGGTTTAATGGTAATTTATTTGAGAAAAGACCTAGGGATTTGAGTTGACAGAATTCTCAAAAGGAGCCAACACGGGGATGGAGCTGCCAAAAAAGCTTAATCCAATCTTAAGCCACGTTAATAAAAGTGCAGGGCCCAAAACAAAAGGGGTAAAAGTTGTATTCGTTACTGATTAGATGAGGTCAGAATAAATCTAGAATATTGGGAATACTTCCGGGCAACAGTGCTGAGCATCTGGAGGGCGCTCGGAGGATGAGGCCCACATTACAAGCGGGCCTGGCGATCAGGTATTAAAATTCTCTCATTTAAGTGAGAAACATCACACATGTGCTACTCCTGGGTATTTATCCTACAAGTATCATCACTCACGTATGAAATGCTCTTTAAGGGCCACTGTATTGCCCAACTTCCAAGAATACCATCTGCATTGAACTCTGTGAAAAGTATAAAGTTCTCAGGAATTATGATAACCTGGCCTGTGGACAAGAACATGCACCACACTATAGCATTGTTCTTAATGGGTAACGATTGGAAACAATCTCAATCTTCATCAACAGGAGACTGTTTAAAAAAAACGATGGGGCATCCATGCAATCGAATACTATACAGCCGTTATAAAGAGGGCAGTTCTATGTACACTGATATGGGAAAATCTCAAGATATATTATCGAGCAAGAGAAGCAGGGGCTGACCAATGTGCATAATATGCTATCACATGTGAAAATATTTATCGACACCTCAAACAAGAAACTGGTTACAGCAGTGGCCTCTAAGAACTAGGGGCTGGGAGACAAGGACATAGATTTACTCAACCTTGGATGCCTCCTTTGAGCTTTTAAATTCAATACCTTGTGCATGTATAACTATTTGTAAAAATAAGTGAAATTAAAATAAACTATTGTCCCCCTGTTCAGAGGGAGAAAGATAATTTAGTTTCAAGGCCATATTATAGGGTCGTGTACAATGCTGACTAATCCTGAGGGAATGAATGAACCCAACCTCAAGTTTGTTTTTCTGTAGCCCACAGTCCACCCTAGACACACACATACACACACACACACCCTTTTTTCATTCCATTCAGAATTCTAAGGCCATTTGACTTTCCGTCCCTCTCAGCTCTCCCCTTATCCACATCGCCTCTTTAAAAAGAAATCCAAAGTTAATTCACACTAAAGTCTAATGAATTGAGGATTTTTTAAAGTGTGACCCTCTTAGGATTATCTGAATTTACGTAGGAATCTGTATTCAACTAATAGAACTAAGGGCTAAGATACTAATCTGAGACTCCAGACACTGTAAAGAGAAGGTGTTTGTTGATAGGAACTTTTCTCTTGCAGAGACAAATAGTATCACAGACACTCTGGGCTGCAGAATTATCAACCTTGTGCCTGTAATGTGTGTGAATAAACAGATAGGCACACACACTGCATGTGTGTGTACCCATTTATACGTTTCTATTTAGCTACGTACATTGAATCTCCGTTCTGAGCAGAGTTTTCAAGCTCTGTGGTGTGCAACCTGCTTTTGATAATGAATGAATCACATTAACACCAATACTTAATCAGTCATTTTAACGCTCAGATTTCCTCAACAAGCAATTTGCAAAGCCAGTCTCTTCTAACTGTCTTGGAAAGAGGCTGGTTCCAGATCTGGAAACTGGAGTATGTTTTGCATGCTGATTAGCAGCAAAGATTTGGCAGCTCTGTGCACCAACTGATTGGAAACTCGTGCCTCCTTCTGCAATGGGAAGAAAAATGATCTCAGAAAGGAAGCAGTAGAGAGCTGATTAAGAAAACACCATTTTGATGTAAAATCAAAGAAAACACAGAATGTTAGCGCTGGGGGGAAGATTATCCAGTCCAAGCCTTTCATTTTCCAGATGAGAAAACTGCCACTTTTTCAGGCTGCTAGAGCCATAAGTCGCCCGCCTCAGTCCAAGCTAATGGACTCAGGATATCTGCAGTGCAGGGTTTCCATCTGTCTTTGTCTTTGTGGAAGCAGAATAGGTTTTAGCGCCAAGCCTGCTTCACAAATCACGAGGAAGGAAAGCAGATCCTGCATTCATCTATAATATGCCACATCTCTGATAGGGAAATGCATTTGCTTGTGGATGTTTTCTCTTCCTCCTAAATTCCCGGTAGCACCTAGAGAATCTAGCCTGCCCCGTTTATTGCATGCATCAGTTGTCCTTAGTCTCAGTCCCTTGCCTCTGCCTGTTCTTTGGTCATAATCATTAACCAGTAAATCAGCCTCGGAGACAGCCAGCTCCTGGGATTCAGCCCACCCCCACCCAGGTGAACTTGTGCCTATCGCTCACCTCTCCTAGATGGAAATGTGTGTAGGGGGTTGGCAATAAGACACCTTTGCTGGTGCCCCTAGAAGCTGAATAGAGAAATAGGAAGGGGACAGATTGTCAGATACAGATCACAGCCCACCGAAGTGTATCCTGAAGCGGCATTACAGAACTTTTTGGTGGTGGTGTGTATGTGCATCTGTTGGGGGGGTGGGGAGGATTCTGGATCATTCAATGCCAGGCATAGCAGGGAAGACTTGTGGAGCAAATGAAGCAGCCCATAGCAAGGAGGCTATGTACCGTCACCCCTTGTGCCCTCACACCTTAAAATGAGGCTGCAGCCACAGGTCGATTTGTACCAAGTGCGGGAAGGAGCAAGAGTGTCTTTTCCACCTCACCTACCCACTCTGGGGACCGAAACTGAGGTAAAGCCACCCTCAGAAACCACAGTGAGGCAGCACCAATTAACCTGCTTGTGTTGATACCAAAACACCAAGGCATCAGAATTTGTCCGGTAACATATAACCCCCAACAGTCACAGCTTAACCGACCTACAGTTAACTCATCAGGCATCTTCATTTTGTATACTCTTCCTTCTTTCCGGGGCAGAATTATCCCAGGGCTTCAGGACTAGAATGTGATTGAGTCTGAGCATTTGTTTTTCAAAGAGCCCCTCTCTGCTCACCTTGGCAGGTGCCAGGCTGCCTTCTGTGTGCTCAGATGGGCACAAAGGCCAGCGGGGGGAGTCTGGGAACAAAGCCCCTGAGAGGGGAGTAAAGAAGGCTCTGCCTCCCTAAAACTGTTAGCCCCTCACTCTGTCCCCCCACCCAGGTCTGCAGTGCGTGGGCAGCGATGCTCGAAGAACCCTGCTTGAGCGAGGGGTTTAACTGAGAAGAGACTATGGATCCTCCCCTAGGCAAAAAGCCCACAGAGACTCTCAAATACAGGCCATGTCCACGTAGATTTATAGTATCTGCAGTTACTTTTCACCTTCCCCAAACCATGACACATCATCTGTTTATATCATTTCCCCTTCGTATATCATAGATTATCGGCAGGCAGGGGATTTGGAGAGGGTCTTGACAAAGTCTCCGCTTTACAAATAAGGATAAGATTAAGTAGCATAAAGTGCTCATGCCTGTCTCACCGGTACGGACAGATCAACTCAAACTCTGGTCTCCCCAAATCTTTAAACGGCCGTGGGTGATCTGCTGACTGCCCACATCACACTCCCAAACCAACAGCACTTGTGGGCAAAAGTTCTAGGAGGATTTTAGAAATTTTACCCCTACAAAGATATTCCGCATAATTTTGTGTGTGTGTGTGTGTGTGTGTGTGTGTGTGTAATTAATTAAATCTGAAACCAAAGAGATAGGCCTGAATAGCTGAGTAGAAAGCCCTCCGCCCAGGAAATACAGTAAAGAGAGAAGAGTTAGTGTTTGGGCTATCTTTTGGAAGAAGGGATTGATTCTGCTTCATGTTGGTGGGGATGTACACATCCCTGGTAAACTTTCAGCTAAGCCTGGGCTCTGCAACAGTTATCAGCTATAATGTTGTCTGAGTCCAAAGAACCCCACACATGAGAAGCCTCTGTTATTACAGCCAAAGGTTACACATGCTGCTCGTGGCTGGATTAGCAGACATTTGCTCTGCCTGTGTCCACGTATTTACACAGTCCTGAAGGATTATAGACTAAAGCACAATTCTTGGCTATCTTTTAATAGCTAATATTTTCAGGATAAATCTCAGAGCTCCCCAAGGAGAGGGGAAAAAAAGTCAGCCTGAAATGCAACATTTAAAAGAAAAAAGTTTGAACATCCAGGAAGGGAAAAGAACCCTTCGGATGGTGATAGGAAAGTAGGAGAGCGAATTTCTGGCACAGAGGAAAATGAGGTGATAAAGAGATTATTCATTAAGAGAGTGGAAATAAGAGCTTTCAAGATATTTGGAAGGCAGTTGTTACTAGTAAAGTAGACAGAGTACCTGCCAGAAAGTTTTCCAGCGAAATCACTCATTGGTTATTTTAATTAAAAATATGACTACCAACCAAAGAACCTGCGGCTGTGGGCCATAAACGAAGTACTTAAAGTGCATTACACTGATTAATAAAAGGACTCTGATTAACCTTGCTGACGAGGGAATTTCATACCCAAGAGAGAAGTATGATATTCTGCCTGTATCATTAACGCGCCAAGACTCATACATCTGAAAGAGAATCGAAATATGTAGTTGGAAAAGCCTTTGGAAACAGCTGTACAGATGTTCACATTTCCAATATAGGAATCACTAGTGAGAACCCATATGAATAGCTTTGGGTTTTCTTACAGATCCTGCGTTCACTCTGGATACTGCACACTTGGCTCATGGGAAACTTTCTATCATGAATATCCCTTGACTTCACAGCTACTTATTGCGTGTGGCAGTTAAAAAAGTTGTTTGTGTATCTAACTTTTCTTCACGCCAACCCCATTTTAAAGCCGTCGTCTGGTAGATGGAATTTTGCTTGCTTGTTTTTTGCTTTAGAGACACATGTCTCTGCTGTCCTCCAGGGGTTACCCCAAATGCCAGCCAGCATGTTTGTAATGTTTGCTTTCCAAAGTGTGAGAGAGGTTTTTTTTTTCTTCATTTAATAAAACATGATTTTATCTGAAGATTTGATGATGAGGTTTAACATAACTTTAAAAAATAAAACAAGAGCTCTCTAACTTTAAGAATCATTCTTAGGTGCTGGGGCTAGGCGAGACCCACAATTTGAACCTGAGCTCTGGAATTCTGCTCTCTGTTGCATGGGCAAGAGAAGCTACTCAGTGGGATGAGGAAGCAGAAGTGAATTTCCAGATGCTTTGTTCTGCCTTCCTCACAGAATCCACATTATACATTTGCTTACGTGAGTGTGCCAATTAGATGGTGGATTTGGGGGAGCAGTGTTTAGGCCCCAAGTTGATTTCCTCGCCAACAGAGTTCTGAATTGTCTTTCCAAAAATTATGAACTGACTTGTATACCAACTTAGACATACCATATTTAGGGGAAAAAAATGTGGTCACTTTTGAAAAATGCTGTATGTCCTGAAAGAAGTAAAAATGGTTTGGGATTAATTGTCCCCCTGTTGATCTTCTGCAGGACAATGAAATGTTGAATATAGATTACATTATTAATTATACAAGCAAATTTAAAGGTCACAGGGTATCTTTTATAGGTTTTAAACATTGTCGTGCTTAATAAGCCACAAAGGTAACTAAAACCTGAAGATTCTCACACTTGAAAAGTAAACAGATAACGTTTCTGTTTCCACATCTGGATGCTGGTTATATAGGTTTGTTTATGTTATGAAAATTAATCATGCTGTACACTTATGATCTGTACAGTTTTCTGCATGGAGCCTTTCAAAGGTGCTTTTAAAAATCAAAAACTGCTGCTTAACAATCCAACAGCATTCAACGTCCTAAAAGTCTGCTATGATTTAATAAAGTCTCACAAAGTTTAATCCAACTGCATACCCTTCAAGGCCACACAGAAAAGGGTGTCATGCCTCAGAATTATTCAGAAAGGAACTAACCCTAATTAACTAATTAACCAGTATAGCTTGCTCAGCCCTACCCGAACAGGGTAGGGAATTCCTTTGTGACTTAAGAAATTGATATAACCACTTAGGTCAACTTTGCTTGGCTAGCAACTAGGATTCTATTTATCACTTCCATTCCTGACTGAAATATTAAAGGGATTGATAATTAGGCTGGAAGACATGTGAAAACGTAGGAAAAAAAAACTTGAAGAAGCTTTGAAGAAAAATGAGGCTTTAATCTGGGTTTAAGATTAAAGAGATGGACTCTTATACCCACATTAAACAGAGAGTACGTGTATTTCTTTCTGTGCATACAAGCATGTGCTCACGCACACATACACACAATTCCTGTATAGACTCTGAAGATATGACCATAAATCCTTTTATTTCTGTGCATATGTTCACCTGGCATGTATAAGAAATGGAACTTTACTTTTCCTCTCCCAGAGGGTATAATTTGCTGTTTCCCTAATGGAAAGCCACATCCCACAGTCCTAACACTATGAAAACACCCATTAGTGTGAATGAATTTTTAGCTCTATGAGGACCATAGGAATCGGCTCATATTGACAGAAAGGATTAAAACTGCATTTTCTTCTGATTCAGGGGTGATGACCCCACTGGAAGCAGGAGAAACTGCACCCTTCTTCCCCGGAGCCTGCCCTAAAACTTCCTTTTTCTCACAACCTTAAAACCTCAGGTGATCCATGCAATTTGGCATGTTTAGGAGATGGGAAAAGGTAGTCTTCACAACTCAGTGTTAAATAAATTACACTGACTTGGACCTAAGTTATTTTCATGGGCATACATGTTAAGCCTAAAAGATACCTTAAAAATGTATTTAGCGTTCAGTCTTTCACGAACAAATCCAGAAGGTTAAAGTAATCTGATTATATGGTATACGCTCCTTCCTTCTAACAGAGCCCCATCAACTACTTTTTAAAAAACAAACCTCTTCATTCTCTTCCAGTCAAGGTAGCAATGCCGATTTATGATAAAGCCCTCCAGGAAAAATCATAAACACAGTCCAGTAAATTAATGTGAAAATATATACCATTAACATTAGTTTCTGAAAATTCATGGTGCTGATGATTTATATGTGAACGGAAAGTACTTTCAACATGAAGAAAGAATTGCTATCTCTCTCCAAATAATGTACACCAGACCTTATCATCTATTTTGTTTAAACAGAAATGATGTTGGACATGGTGTTTGTTTGTAGTCTGCTCACCAGATGGCCTCGCTACTCAAGTTCCCCATTAACTAGCTGATTTGGGAAATCAGAATCTGCGTACTTCTAATTTATTTCTGATTTCTTAAGTGTGGGTTCCAGAAAAATCCCTTGATAAAAAAAAAATTCAGTTCTCATTCTTGTTACCCTCGTTCTTCAAAAGGCAGACATTCTGTACTCAGGATATCTACAATTTTGATCTATTATTGTAGTCAAGGAAAAAAAGTTAACTTTTTAGTTTTTCTGGTTTCAGCTTTTTGCCTGAACTAAAAACTCATTAACATGATAAGGACCAGCAAGGTGCATCAAGGCAGAGCCTTACCCATTCATTAACCCTCCAAATGGGGGCAAAAATTCCCTTTTCCAACCAGATAGATACAGAGATGATATATCTTTAAGTGGCTGTGCGAGCATAGAGTTAGCACTCTGTCCCCAAGGCAGTCACACAGTCTGGATTAGATCTTAGCAGTCTGTTTAGCCATAATCTAGAGATGTTTTCTTTATTCTGTGTCATTTTAGGCAGAAGAAAAGTTAGAAACAAAAGCAAAGTACACTAATAAATATGATTGTCCAGGATTTCAAATTCCAGACACAAGGATAGAGAAAGAAAAGAAAAGACAGAAAGAAAGAAATGCAAATATACGCCACCCATGATGCTGTCTAGTTAAAAAGAGAAAAGATTAAATTAGAAATATTTTTAAAATACATACTTAAACTTAAAAGCCAGTAAGAGCTACTGGCTTAGAGTGGGTGACCGACACTGTGCATTACAAAAAAAAAAAAAATCCATTTTCTATCAATTTTATAATCACACCTATAATTTTTTACCTTGTTTATAAGATGCCAAAACCATATTCTCATCTTCAACTTCAAAAACTGTGTCCACATCTATTAGCCTTTGGATTAAAATGGCCTTCAGTTTTCCGAAGTCATTTGACTTTAGAGCCTCAAGGAAATTTCTCTTAACTAACTTGGCCGCTGCAGATTTAGTGATAGGGGTGGCGGCGCCTTCCATCCTTCCTCTCTGGAAGCTTTGTTGTGATTTATCAGGAGAGCGGCACCAAGCAAACAGGCACATGCTGGAGAGCCCACAAACTGTCGGCTAATTTTATCCCAAAGTTATGCTGATCCGTTCTATTTATATAGGGATCATTTCAAACTTCAAAATATCCTTCTTGGCTGTCACTGCCTTTTCAGGTCTTTTAAACTGGTTCTATACTCACTGATTCATTGAATAATATATCGTGTCAATAACAAGGAAAACCCTTGCAACACATTTCGGAGAGCGAAATGTCAGTATTATTTCTTAAATGATCAAAGCAATAGTGTAAGATTTAAAGGCTCTTAATGCTTTTTTTTTTCTCCCTCAGTAAAAACATCTGGTGCCCAACTGGAGAACCAGCGTCCCGCTCGGATTAACCAATAGCCAAAAATGAAAATTTGTTACAGTTGCTGATACATGTGCCTCTGGAAACCTATAATAATTTTGTAACATAAACCCACAGAATCAAGCAGAGTTGTACACACTGGAAAACAAACAGAAGGTTTTCAAGTGACCTAGACTTGAAAAATTTCAATGTGGTGAAAGAAAGCAAGGTAGGGTAAGGTGGCAGGACTGTTTCAGGTAAAAAGAGGCTAAAGAGACAAAACAGCCAAGTGCAATGAGTGAATGAACTTTATCTAACCCTGTGTTTAAAAAACAGAAAAGATTATTGTGGAAATATGAATACAGACTAGATATTACTTCATAACACGGAAGTACTGTTAATGTTTCAAAGCATGGTAGAGGGATTATGGTTATGTAGAAACATATCCTTCTTCTTAAGTGACGCATTAAGGGGTGAATTGTCATGATGTCTAAAACTTATTTTCAAATAGTTCAGAATTCAAAACTGAATGTGTATGAATATACACACAAGTGGGTGCATGGGTATGTGTGTACGTGTGTCGGGGGGTAAATAGAGTCAGAGAAAGAAAGCAAATGTGGCAAAAAAGTTGGACGTTGGCAAATCTAATGAAGGAGCTCTGCATGTCCATTATATTATTCTTTCAGCTTTTCTATAAGTTTGAAAATGTCCCAAATAAAAAGTTAGAGAGAGAAATAATCAAATTTTAAATTTATAAATCATTAAAAATTAGAAAAAATGATGACAGTATTAATTTGAATGCAGTGAAATCACACCTTATATAGTGTTGATAAGAGTCAAACTGGTGCAAATTTTTCTGCAGAATAATTAGCAACACGAATTTTTAAAAAAAATCTTAAAATGATAATAGTATTGGATTCTTGGAATTTACTTAAGGATATAAACATGGATGCATATCATAGTACAATTTTTTAACTTATTCCATTGATGTGCAACCTAAATACAAGAAAGTGGAAAGTGACAAGTCCTAAGTATACAGCTCCTAGGATGTTTACAAAGTGAACATCCTCATGGAACCAACCCCAGATCAAGCCACAGCAGTCCAAGTGCGCTTGAAACAATTTTTATGTCTCCTTCCCATCGAAACACTCAACCTGACCCCCAATGACAACCATTATCTTGAATTCTAACACTGTAGATTCAGTTTGCTTGTATTTTAATATTTAAATTTTTTGTTAGTTTTCTTAATTTTTAAATCTTCAAGCTTACATAGTATAAAATACTTGACCCGAAAAGAAGAATGGATAAGTGAATGAAAATGTATGTGTGGGTAATTACAGTGTTAATAATAGAAAAAATTTCAGAAGCAATCTCAATGACCAAGAGTAGAAAATTTGGTAAATTATGGCATATCCATATAATGCAATATCTTTTAGTCATTATGATTTAATTAAGTAGGTATATACTTCTTGAAAATATCTATGAGGGGCTCCTGGGTGGCTCAATTGGTCAAGTGTCTGCCTTTGGCTCAGGTCATGATCTCAGGGTCCTGGGATCGGGCACTACGTTGGGCTCTCTGCTCAGAGGGGAGTCCACTTCTCCCTCTCCCTCTATGCTCTCTCACTCTCGCTCTCCGTCAAGTAAATAAAATCTTTAAAAAAATAATAATAAATTAAAAATATCTGTGAGCTAGACAATTTATAAAATAGTATGTGTAGTATAAATATCTTTAAAATATCTATGTTCATATAATGTACAAATATGCATATTTATATATATTATATATATTATAGAATTATATACTGTATACATTATATATATACAGTATATACTATATAATTTGTACTATTATATATACTTACATAATTTGTATATATTTATACAATATACATATGTATAAATACATGTACTAAATGCACACATAGAAAAAAGTCTATAAACATCTATTTCCAAATATCATGAGCTTTTATTTCCCAGTGGTAAGATTACATTTGATTTCTTCTTGATCACTTTCTTATTTTTTGAATTCATCTACAATGAGTATACATTACATTCGTGATAAAAACGTATTTCGGTATATGTATATTTATAATACTAATAAAGGTAACTTGTTAACTCAGAATAACTATAGAATTGTAGGTTCCAGGGGCGCCTGGGTGGCTCAGTTGGTTAAGCAACTGCCTTCAGCTCAGGTCATGATCCTGGAGTCCCAGGATCGAGTCCCGCATCGGGCTCCCTGCTCAGCAGGGAGTCTGCTTCTCCCTCTGACCCTCCCCCCTCTCATGTGCTCTCTCTCTCTCTCTCTCACTCTCTCTCACTCTCTCTCTCAAATAAATAAATAAAATCTTTAAAAAAATAAAATATTTAAAAAAAAAAAAAAAGAATTGTAGGTTCCATGAAGTAAGGAACTGAATTATTCTTATGTCCTCAGTGCCTAGCATGAATGAATAAATTAATAAAGAATTATTTATTGATTATTTACAAGGTCCTTAGCACGGTGCTTGGTGGCAAATAAATACCACTATTTCTTTGATATCCACATGGGTAACTCAAGTAGAAATATAGCATTTATTGATATTATTGATATGCTTTGTCCCTTTTTGACAAAACTAAAAGGCAAAAAAAAGCATTCCTGGTAGAAGAAACAAAGAGATCCAGGAGTTTTGCGTTATTGGAGGATACTTTTTGCTAGAGAAGTTCACCAAAATGGAATCTATGTAAAATGAAGACCAAATTTCACAAAATGGGGGGAAAGCTCATTTTATTTTTTTTTTTAAAGATTTTATTTATTTATTTGAGAGACAGAGAGAATGAGAGAGAAAGCACATGAGATGGGGGGAGGGTCAGAGGGAGAAGCAGACTCCCTGCTGAGCAGGGAGCCGGATGCGGGACTCGATCCAGGGACTCCAGGATCATGACCTGAGCCGAAGGCAGTCGCTTAACCAACTGAGCCACCCAGGTGCCCGGGGAAAGCTCATTTTAAATTCATCTTTAAAAAAAAGGCAAAAGTTATCGGGAACAATTTTTCACCTAATATTTAAGAACATTTAAGTTGACAGAAGCTATGGGTAATTCATAGGACCACAAAACAAACTATTTTCAGGGTAAGATCATTTTTCTGATCCAATTCCATAACAACATGAAGCAATACCCTTTACCTTTAGAGTGACTTTTGTCAAACCAATATAAAAAAAAGATCATGTTTACAAGTGTCCAAGAGCTGCATCAGTTCTGCCAAGGGCCTGTCTTCATCGTTTGATATTCCAATGATTTCAAACCCAGCGGCTGCAATTCCCGCTGAAACTACTTATCAAATCCTTATGTTTTCAAACTCTTCTCCTTCAATTATTAACAGAAATAACCCTGCTGAATCTTCATTAGTAAATAGTTTTGTATGTGATTTGGGCTCTCTTACCTTTTCATCAACTTCATGAAATCTTACCTCATTTACAAAATTCGCAATTTTACTTTGCAATGGACATCAGGTAATGATCTGGACATCAGGTGAGATCTGGACCCCGCAGTTAAGGATAAGTTGTCCGATCTGAGTTTGCCACCTTGTGATCTGAGGGCCCGAGATAATGGACTGTCAGTTGATAAGCCCCATAATTCTTAATGGTAATGAAGTTTTAAATCTAACCCTACCTTCCAAATTTTACATTTTTCTGCTTTCAAGAATATACAATGAGTTGAAGGGAAAGGGAGGCAAATACCAGTGAATATTGAAAAGAAAATACAAGATAATATGTAAAATTCTCGCATCCTGCTTCACAAAGCAATCCATTCCATTACTGGAAAATTAGGGTCAGTATTTTCTTTGTTACACTGAGCCCAAATTGCCTATCCATAATTTTTTTTCATTGGGTCTAATTATGAACATGCAATCATACCTTTATTCCATTCTCATCCTTAATGAATTTCTAACATTTGAAAATAGCATCCTATCTCTCATCAATCATTTTTTTTCCTTGACTAGTCTCAACTGTTTCTTATCTGGGGTGGTTTTCAGAATTCTCTTGTCCTGCCTGCTCTCTTCTGGATCCTCTCTGGTTTATCGATGAATGCCCTTCTCTTAAATTTGGGGGCCTAAAACGGAACATAATATGCTAGAGGGAGCTGAAAACTAGGGAGTATGATGGGGACCCTGGGGGGCACTCTGCTTTTGTTGATATTGTTTTGTGATTCCTAGGAGGCACTTTGCAAGTCTGCCTCATGTTATAGTTGTAATTTCTTCAACAGATACGTATTGAGCACCTACCATGTGCCAGAAACTTATTCTGTGAACTGGAAATACAAAAAATCCCTGCCCTATAGGACTTAGCGTGCCTAATGGATTTAAGTAAAAATGGAAGTCCCCAGACCTTTCCAATCTCCTATACACCAGAATTGCTCACAAAGCTGCAAATTCACTAAATTTCACAGAGAAACAATGTAGTTTGTTTATATTTGATTAATTGATTGGATCCTCCCTTTATAGGTTCTTCACCTTAGTGCCAAAGGGAAGGACAACTTAATTTTAGTCCAACTTCATATGTTTAGTCCAATTCAAATTTTTAGCAGTGTCTTTCGGTAAATGCTCAGTTGCTATGGATATAATTCTCTATCTTTGAGAGTTCTGACTTTCCCTCTAAGATGGTTTCTGGAAATATGGGATAGGTATAGGAAAAACATTCAAAATACTAACATTTAACAACCAGGATCAGTTAGAAGAGACTTGACCATAAGTAATCAGTATGGCCAGACTAGTGTATAGCAGATGAGTATCAGTCAGAGGCAGGAGTGTGGCTTACATGATCGCATCGGGGAAGGGGGAGTCCCCAGATGGGAAAACCTCCTTGATCTCCATGGCAGAGTGGCAGAGTGGCTCCTCTAAATTGTTCATGACTATATTCAGATATCTGGCTCCCACCATCAGAGCACATGATCCCGGTCATTTGTCTCCAAATTTGATGTCTTCAAACACTGCAGCCTTTTGGCTATGTTAATGCAAGTTATACGCAGGAAACTCCAAGTCTTCTCTTCAGGCACACTGCCACTCCCTCACACTTCATGAGGAAATAGCAGCTTTGTATAGCCTCCTTCTTGTCAGCTTTTTAGAGCCAGAATGGACATGGACCTATGCTGAGGGCTGGAGTTCTCCAAGGAGTCTACCCTATTCCTCACACTGGCCATTAACCTCCATGTCCTTTGACCTTCTCAGGCATATCTGGTTGTTTCTAGGTCTTCTCCCTTGCCACTGCTCTGCCAAAGTTCAATCCTGGAAGAACA